ATCCAAAAAAACCCCACGTTAATATCCCCCCTTTGGGAATGGCATAAAGACAACTCCAATCAGTACATTAACACTGACATGTTAATCTCTTTGCTCGTTTTGTTTCTTTGACGAAGCGAAGCACATCGGCGCGATAAAGGCTATTTAACGCAGGGGAAAAGCCGGATAGAGACAGAAACATCCCAGGGAAAGAAAGAAGTAGGACATACCAGTGGCATCCTCCAACCACCACACGTCAATCTTTGATTTAAGCAGGCCCCCAAAAGTTCGGTATGACACCTCTTTAGCTCTAGGTCCATCCACGGTCTGTGTAAAACAAACTTCACAAAAAAACCCACAAAAACAAACAAACAAAACAAAACAAAGAAGCAAACAAAAAACAACAACCCACCCACCCACAAACAAAAAGGAAAGAAAAACATGTTTCGAAAACCTTGTCATAACGGCTACGACGCATATCATCACCGAGTGTTCTGTCCCGGAGCGGACACTGATGGTCACGGCGTTCAATCCTCCTGTTTCATTCGATGCCCTCGCGAATGAGCTGTCGTTCATTATGGTGCTTGTTGCTCGGGTGTTCAGGCCGCAGTTTACGAATCTTGAGCGTTGGCGTTCAAGCTTGATTATCCCTGTCCTCTTTGTCTGCACGTATACCCGCCCTAAGATATTTGCTTTGTCGCCTCGATATCGAGCATCATGACGCATAATATAGTTGAACAAAAACTTCATGCTTCGAGGCATACACTTTAAAAGATTGTTTGTCCCAAGGTGTGCTGATTTTATTTAAAACATTGTACAATGATGGTGTGAATATACGGCGGGGGGTGGCGGGGGGGGCAAAGACATATCAATCAATTGCATTCATTTGATAAGTTTTCAATCCACTGCGCAACGCAAAACAATAAGTATTTCATATTACTATTACTATGCCACCACTCACAATTACATCTGAATTCTTCTTCTCTACGATCCACCGTTAGATCTCACAGGTAGTTGGCGGCTGTTGCTTTTTGCTTTTTTCAATCTGCAGAGGAAATGATTTTACGTATGTAATCGCTTTCCCTACTTCGTAGGCCCCTTGAAAACAAGTTTAAAATAGCCCCTCCCTTCTACGTGTACGCTAGGTGTTCAACCATACATGACCTGTGGCCGAAAGGAGACAGTGTAGTCTGAGTAAGAAGGAGCCAGAAACGGCATAAGAACAAGTAAGGAGTAACAGAAAGTGGAACAGAGAGAGGGCCGAGAACATGAAAGGAGGAAAAAGGAAAATATCTTAAGGAAACTTTTTTTTTCGTCACAGGTAGGTCTTGATCCAGGGACCTTTAGACTGAGAGGCCAACACCGTACCTCTTAAACCATTCAAGGTCAAAATTCCAATTGATACCACCCATAGTTTACGACAATAAAATACCTGATTGTACCTGAGCTCATCTATGACAGCAAAAGTGATACATGCTCATTCTCTCTCTTTCTCTCTCTCTCTCTCTCTCTCTCTCTCTCTCTCTCTCT